TATCTCGACTTATTTAAAAATATATACAGCACTTTAATAAACAGAAGCGTCGTGCCAAAATCGAAGTGAAGCCTCCCAAAGGAAAGTAAACGTTTCCTGCGAAATCTCTTCGCACGCACGCACGTACTCACACGCACCTGCGAGGAGGCGGGGCTTCCGACGCCTGAACCCGCGGTGTGCTTCCCGAGGCTGACGTGTACGTGCCAGACGGCAGATGAGGATGGCCGAGGGACCTTTCCTCGCGCCGACTGCACCCCAGCGAGGCATTCACTCTCGGGAGCTTGAGAAGAAAGGTGTTCAAAGCTAAACGGTGATAAAACATGGCGTTGCGAGGAACACTGGCCAGACTGCCTGCTCTGAGGTCTTCGCTTGTGACCACAAGCCCAAGAATCGTGGCGGTTCCTGCCAGGCAAACCCACAGCACGGAGGATAGGCTCCAGGTAGCCCCCGCCGCTGGAGCGGTTGTGTGTAGCAGTGCCATTCCTGTTGGAAAATTAGGTAAGTTCCTTCAGTTCCTGTGAGTAATGCCTGCTAGACAGTTTAACATCACCTCTAGCAAAGGTTTATGTGTAAAGAGGTGCTGGTGTAGTTCGTTTGGACATCTTTGAAACTTCAGGAGGTATTACATGGCAACTCAAAGCTGTCTGCTACCCAGGATTTTGAATAGAGTTTGGCAAATAAGAGATTATCATTTGCATTTTACAAACGTAGCAGGGAGTACTACGTGTGTGTTTTACGTGCTAAGCCTACTAGTTTTCCTTTTGTACTTAGCTCTAGGTTCTTAGAGAATCACTGGGGTATCTGGTATCAAATAGCATAACTATACTGCACCGGAGTTTGTATGTATGTGTGTCTTCTGGACAAAACAACTAATCAAATAAAGAATATTTTGATATACATTATAGATGCATGGGACTCTATGTAACATTTTTTTCAATTTCCTATCTTACCCCATGTTAGATTTTGATTGCTTGATTGTTTACTCGTTTGAAGATAAAGATATCAATTTAGCAATGCTCGGATCAGTTGCCTGTTTTCTATCTCTCATATTGTTTCTTTGTAGCATTTCACAAGACGAGAAAATAGCTTTGAAAGTATGTAATATTCGTATTCCTTAAAGAACCTGCACATTCTGTTTTTTATCAATAGTTTAACCTCTTTCCATTTTTTTCCAGGACTGAGAGATCACCATATCAACAGGCTGGAGAAATATTTGCTGGTTTGGGGAGGAAAGTACAACAGCATCGCAGATGTCCCTGACTTGGTGAGGTGAGTTTTCCTTCGACTTTTGTGTGGATTTATCCCTTTTGTTTAGAATACAATGACTTCTCAAGAAAAGACCAACAATTCTTGATTGCTGTTTAACTTAGTTCTGGAATATATTTTCCCCCGAAAGAAGCAATCTCTTTCTCTCTGTCAACAGCCAAGACACCCTGGAACGCGCCCGTAACAAGGCAAGAATCAAGATCAACATCTGGATGGGCGTCGCCACCCTGCTCGGCTGCGTCTACATGATCTGGTCGGGCAAGAAGGCCCACCGGGAGGGCCAGTCTCTCCTGGCCATGAACGCGGAGTGGCACAGGAGAGTGAACGAGGAGGCGAGGCTGGCCAGGGCGAGAAAGGATCGTCTGGGGGACATGGCAGAGCTGTAGGGAGGGAATCTCTGCTCACTGGGTGACGCTGATGTGTCTTTAGCTGGAGGGATTGTTAAACCTATTTCTCTTTTTGTGTTTTTGAAAGGCTAAGTGAAGGGGTAGGATATGGCTCCGGCGTCAGGGAAAGGCACAAAGGAAAGGAAACAGCGCGTTTTCGTGGTACGTTCTTCAGATAACACTTTTCAGTAATGGGGAAAGGTGTTTATTTCTTGAACAATCTGAGATTCTATTGAGATAGCATTTGAACCATGCTTCGCATGCGTTATCATATGGCAATACCCATGGCAAAACTAGGTTTGTACAGTTTAATGAGTTGGTGTTTTTTTATGATGACTGGATATTGACTGGAACAATGTCTGGAGAATATCCACAGTCAAGGAACTAGAACCTCATTACAACAGTGACATTCCTTACCAATCCCCGCGAGATGTACTGTGATGAACTGGCCATTCTGGAAGGCAGAGACCATGCTTTTCGATGTAATAGTTCAATGCAGGAAAGTGTGATGGCTTATAATGGAACTTCAGATAGGCTATGTGTGCCTACGTCTGTCCCTAAAAGGCCCATTTGCTGGAACCCATTCACTTCCGAACGGCTGCTCTAGATGCTGGTTCTCACACCTCAGTCCATGGTGGGAATCTTGGCATTAGTGGCGGCATGCAGCTTAGACGCAGGGAAAGTGTGCAGTCGTCTGTTGACTATCGCCTTGCAAATGGGCTCTTTCTAGATGATACTTGTTTAGCATCTCAGTTCCTCTGACTCCCAGCTGGTCTTACAGTTCTATCTCCTACCTCCGTTGCCTTTGAGAAATTAACAATCTGCCATGTACTATTTTATTTAAAAAGTAGCGAAGGTAGTAATGTATGTATGTCCCTATCAACAGGCTGTGATTGAGCAGTTTTTGGAAATTGTTTCGCAAAAAGAAGAGAGAAAAAAACATGATATTTGTACAAGATTTGACAATGCTTGTAACTGACGCAGGATCGTGATATTTCATTTCACTTCTTAAACCATCATTTCTGTGTTCGTGAAGCAATGGTTTTCCTGCGCTGGCCAAAGTCTTTCGCATGATTAGCAAAATAGTTCAGTACACACAAGGTATCTTTCGTAATACTGTCCAGTTATTTTACAAAGAACATACCTTATAGGTATAATAAAAGTGACCATATTTTGGTGTCCAGAAGTCAAGGAACAATAAATATGAAGGTATAAATTACAGCAGTTTATGTACTTTTTATAATATCAATTCAGTGTCAGTGGTTCTTAGGAAATATTGTGATATTTCATCTAGTATAAGAAAAATCAGTTTGAATATATACCGCTTTTCAATAGATACTAGCTTTTCCAGGTTATAACATAATATATATATACTTTAAACTACAATCTTTATTTTTCATATTGTAGATTTTCATGTTATAACATGTATCACCTTAAGGTGAATGTGATGACAATAATAAACCATAGTCATTTTTAAGTATAATAAACTTTTTTCAGAATGTGTGTTTTAGTCATTCGTAATTCGTGTTTTTTTCCTGGAATGTTATATTTTTAGACAAAAACTACACATGCATTTATAAGTGAAACTTTAGATTTGACTTCGTGATTACATGTCTAAGAAGATGAGAGACTTCTAGTCGCTCGTCGATTTTGTCGGTGAGTTATGCGGAGCCGCGATTCTCTGCTTGAGTTCTGCAGTAGTCTTGGTCCAATGCATTGGGAAAAAGCATGCAAATGTGCGGAAGACCTGCGCACAACTGATCAGGATGAAACTGATACCGATGGATTCCTCTCACCCTCTACTACCCATATATGTTAGATTCATGCTATGAAAGCTTCCCTATACCCAGTAAACTTGGCCCTGGTGTTAGGGAAAGTTACCAGCGGAAAAATATATGCAAAGTAAGTCATTAAATCATCTAATGAAGAGAGCTGTGCCCCGTACAACACACCTTTGGGGAACTTCCGTAATTCAATCCCCACCCTGGAAAAAATCCTCCATAGGATCACTGACCGATCACAGTCGATCTTTTGAGCATTTATTAGACCTAATTATCTTAAGCAGGGGCTTTGATCCCCATGGGAGAGGGGTCCCCCCCCCCCCCCAATCCTTACCCTAGAAGGAATCCTCCATATATTTTCGATGGCATGGAGCGTACACCCTATCACAGAGGTATGAAGATGTACCCGGAATAACTACAGTCTGTGCAATGAAGAGCTGCATACACTTTCTCGTAAATATTGTATACCCCCCCCCCCTTCCTCTGGTGCAGCGGGAGCGATCTCGTCTTGCAATCTTGCTGAGCTGCGTTCAAATCCCTCGCCGCCATTGGATGGTAACCCCGGCCATTTCTTGCACACAGGGGGTAAGTTAGCAGGAAAATAAAACAAACAGCCTGTCATACCAAAAATACCCATTGCAACAAAAAGATTTTTTTTTCCGCATCGACACGACCTGTAACTGATCACGACGACACTAGTATCAGATGATATAACGTGAGCTGCTTGTTTTCATTCGCATTTTACCCCTCATGTTGGTCGTAGGTTCCAGCCATGAATACGTGGAGGATTCTTTGTGTTCTAGGGAGGGTCCCTACGGAGGCAGCCCTTGACATTAGAATAATAATTTGTGTGATTGTTACTATTGTAACTAGCAATATCCCCGTTAACTTTCATGCCATTCTCTACTACTGTTTGTGTGTGTGTGTGGGGGGGGGGGGGGGGTACGCAACATAATTCCTACATATGTAAGTAGTGGAGTATGAGAATATACATAAGTATATGTACTTATATACATACATACGTGTGTATATATGTGTGTGTTTCAGCTCGACCACCAATATACTTCCTACGTTTGTGTGAATGACTGTATGCAGGTATGCAGGTGCTTACATAAAAAATATTTCACGTGAGCGTGTCCATGTGCATTTATATTCACATCAATCACTATGAATCGCCCAGCCTTCCACGGACCCTCGCAAAAAAACGCACGTGGCTTTGTTGATGTGTCCGGCGTCACAGGCGTAACTTCGCCCTCACTTTGCCAAATCACACGAGTTGTTTTCGCATCATATATTTGGTTCTGAATATTTCCGCAAGACATCTTTCTCGACTTACTAAAAAATATATACAGCACTTTAATAAACAGAAGCGTCGTGCCAGAATCGAAGTGAAGCCTCCCAAAGGAACGTAAACGTTTCCTGCGAAATCTCTTCGCACGCACGCACGTACTCACACGCACCTGCGAGGAGGCGGGGCTTCCGACGCCTGAACCCGCGGTGTGCTTCCCGAGGCTGACGTGTACGTGCCAGACGGCAGATGAGGATGGCCGAGGAACCTTTCCTCGCGCCGACTGCACCCCAGCGAGGCATTCACTCTCGGGAGCTTGAGAAGAAAGGTGTTCAAAGCTAAACGGTGATAAAACATGGCGTTGCGAGGAACACTGGCCAGACTGCCTGCTCTGAGGTCTTCGCTTGTGACCACAAGCCCAAGAATCGTGGCGGTTCCTGCCAGGCAAACCCACAGCACGGAGGATAGGCTCCAGGTAGCCCCCGCCGCTGGAGCGGTTGTGTGTAGCAGTGCCATTCCTGTTGGAAAATTAGGTAAGTTCCTTCAGTTCCTGTGAGTAATGCCTGCTAGACAGTTTAACATCACCTCTAGCAAAGGTTTATGTGTAAAGAGGTGCTGGTGTAGTTCGTTTGGACATCTTTGAAACTTCAGGAGGTATTACATGGCAACTCAAAGCTGTCTGCTACCCAGGATTTTGAATAGAGTTTGGCAAATAAGAGATTATCATTTGCATTTTACAAACGTAGCAGGGAGTACTGCGTGTGTGTTTTACGTGCTAAGCCTACTAGTTTTCCTTTTGTACTTAGCTCTAGGTTCTTAGAGAATCACTGGGGTATCTGGTATCAAATAGCATAACTATACTGCACCGGAGTTTGTATGTATGTGTGTCTTCTGGACAAAACAACTAATCAAATAAAGAATATTTTGATATACATTATAGATGCATGGGACTCTATGTAACATTTTTTTTCAATTTCCTATCTTACCCCATGTTAGATTTTGATTGCTTGATTGTTTACTCGTTTGAAGATAAAGATATCAATTTAGCAATGCTCGGATCAGTTGCCTGTTTTCTATCTCTCATATTGTTTCTTTGTAGCATTTCACAAGACGAGAAAATAGCTTTGAAAGTATGTAATATTCGTATTCCTTAAAGAACCTGCACATTCTGTTTTTTATCAATAGTTTAACCTCTTTCCATTTTTTTCCAGGACTGAGAGATCACCATATCAACAGGCTGGAGAAGTATTTGCTGGTTTGGGGAGGAAAGTACAACAGCATCGCAGATGTCCCTGACTTGGTGAGGTGAGTTTTCCTTCGACTTTTGTGTGGATTTATCCCTTTTGTTTAGAATACAATGACTTCTCAAGAAAAGACCAACAATTCTTGATTGCTGTTTAACTTAGTTCTGGAATATATTTTCCCCCGAAAGAAGCAATCTCTTTCTCTCTGTCAACAGCCAAGACACCCTGGAACGCGCCCGTAACAAGGCAAGAATCAAGATCAACATCTGGATGGGCGTCGCCACCCTGCTCGGCTGCGTCTACATGATCTGGTCGGGCAAGAAGGCCCACCGGGAGGGCCAGTCTCTCCTGGCCATGAACGCGGAGTGGCACAGGAGAGTGAACGAGGAGGCGAGGCTGGCCAGGGCGAGAAAGGATCGTCTGGGGGACATGGCAGAGCTGTAGGGAGGGAATCTCTGCTCACTGGGTGACGCTGATGTGTCTTTAGCTGGAGGGATTGTTAAACCTATTTCTCTTTTTGTGTTTTTGAAAGGCTAAGTGAAGGGGTAGGATATGGCTCCGGCGTCAGGGAAAGGCACAAAGGAAAGGAAACAGCGCGTTTTCGTGGTACGTTCTTCAGATAACACTTTTCAGTAATGGGGAAAGGTGTTTATTTCTTGAACAATCTGAGATTCTATTGAGATAGCATTTGAACCATGCTTCGCATGCATTATCATATGGCAATACCCATGGCAAAACTAGGTTTGTACAGTTTAATGAGTTGGTGTTTTTTTTATGATGACTGGATATTGACTGGAACAATGTCTGGAGAATATCCACAGTCAAGGAACTAGAACCTCATTACAACAGTGACATTCCTTACCAATCCCCGCGAGATGTACTGTGATGAACTGGCCATTCTGGAAGGCAGAGGCCATGCTTTTCGATGTAATAGTTCAATGCAGGAAAGTGTGATGGCTTATAATGGAACTTCAGATAGGCTATGTGTGCCTACGTCTGTCCCTAAAAGGCCCATTTGCTGGAACCCATTCACTTCCGAACGGCTGCTCTAGATGCTGGTTCTCACACCTCAGTCCATGGTGGGAATCTTGGCATTAGTGGCGGCATGCAGCTTAGACGCAGGGAAAGTGTGCAGTCGTCTGTTGACTATCGCCTTGCAAATGGGCTCTTTCTAGATGATACTTGTTTAGCATCTCAGTTCCTCTGACTCCCAGCTGGTCTTACAGTTCTATCTCCTACCTCCGTTGCCTTTGAGAAATTAACAATCTGCCATGTACTATTTTATTTAAAAAGTAGCGAAGGTAGTAATGTATGTATGTCCCTATCAACAGGCTGTGAATGAGCAGTTTTTGGAAATTGTTTCGCAAAAAGAAGAGAGAAAAAAAACATGATATTTGTACAAGATTTGACAATGCTTGTAACTGACGCAGGATCGTGATATTTCATTTCACTTCTTAAACCATCATTTCTGTGTTCGTGAAGCAATGGTTTTCCTGCGCTGGCCAAAGTCTTTCGCATGATTAGCAAAATAGTTCAGTACACACAAGGTATCTTTCGTAATACTGTCCAGTTATTTTACAAAGAACATACCTTATAGGTATAATAAAAGTGACCATATTTTGATGTCCAGAAGTCAAGGAACAATAAATATGAAGGTATAAATTACAGCAGTTTATGTACTTTTTATAATATCAATTCAGTATCAGTGGTTCTTAGGAAATATTGTGATATTTCATCCAGTATAAGAAAAATCAGTTTGAATATATACAGCTTTTCAATAGATACTAGACAGCTTTTCTATGTTATAACATAATATGTATATACTTTAGATTACAATCTTTATTTTCATATTGTAGATTTTCATGTTATAACATGTATCACCTTAAGGTGAATGTGATGACAATAATAAACCATAGTCATTTTTAAGTATAATAAACTTTTTTCAGAATGTGTGTTTTAGTCATTCGTAATTCGTGTTTTTTTCCTGGAATGTTATATTTTTAGACAAAAACTACACATGCATTTATAAGTGAAACTTTAGATTTGACTTCGTGATTACATGTCTAAGAAGATGAGAGACTTCTAGTCGCTCGTCGATTTTGTCGGTGAGTTATGCGGAGCCGCGATTCTCTGCTTGAGTTCTGCAGTAGTCTTGGTCCAATGCATTGGGAAAAAGCATGCAAATGTGCGGAAGACCTGCGCACAACTGATCAGGATGAAACTGATACCGATGGATTCCTCTCACCCTCTACTACCCATATATGTTAGATTCATGCTATGAAAGCTTCCCTATACCCAGTAAACTTGGCCCTGGTGTTAGGGAAAGTTACCAGCGGAAAAATATATGCAAAGTAAGTCATTAAATCATCTAATGAAGAGAGCTGTGCCCCGTACAACACACCTTTGGGGAACTTCCGTAATTCAATCCCCACCCTGGAAAAAATCCTCCATAGGATCACTGACCGATCACAGTCGATCTTTTGAGCATTAATTAGACCTAATTATCTTAAGCAGGGGCTTTGATCCCCATGGGAGAGGGGTCCCCCCCCCCCCAATCCTTACCCTAGAAGGAATCCTCCATATATTTTCGATGGCATGGAGCGTACACCCTATCACAGAGGTATGAAGATGTACCCGGAATAACTACAGTCTGTGCAATGAAGAGCTGCATACACTTTCTCGTAAATATTGTATACCCCCCCCCCCTTCCTCTGGTGCAGCGGGAGCGATCTCGTCTTGCAATCTTGCTGAGCTGCGTTCAAATCCCTCGCCGCCATTGGATGGTAACCCCGGCCATTTCTTGCACACAGGGGGTAAGTTAGCAGGAAAATAAAACAAACAGCCTGTCATACCAAAAATACCCATTGCAACAAAAAGATTTTTTTTTCCGCATCGACACGACCTGTAACTGATCACGACGACACTAGTATCAGATGATATAACGTGAGCTGCTTGTTTTCATTCGCATTTTACCCCTCATGTTGGTCGTAGGTTCCAGCCATGAATACGTGGAGGATTCTTTGTGTTCTAGGGAGGGTCCCTACGGAGGCAGCCCTTGACATTAGAATAATAATTTGTGTGATTGTTACTATTGTAACTAGCAATATCCCCGTTAACTTTCATGCCATTCTCTACTACTGTTTGTGTGTGTGTGTGGGGGGGGGGGGGTACGCAACATAATTCCTACATATGTAAGTAGTGGAGTATGAGAATATACATAAGTATATGTACTTATATACATACATACGTGTGTATATATGTGTGTGTTTCAGCTCGACCACCAATATACTTCCTACGTTTGTGTGAATGACTGTATGCAGGTATGCAGGTGCTTACATAAAAAATATTTCACGTGAGCGTGTCCATGTGCATTTATATTCACATCAATCACTATGAATCGCCCAGCCTTCCACGGACCCTCGCAAAAAAACGCACGTGGCTTTGTTGATGTGTCCGGCGTCACAGGCGTAACTTCGCCCTCACTTTGCCAAATCACACGAGTTGTTTTCGCATCATATATTTGGTTCTGAATATTTCCGCAAGACATCTTTCTCGACTTACTAAAAAATATATACAGCACTTTAATAAACAGAAGCGTCGTGCCAGAATCGAAGTGAAGCCTCCCAAAGGAACGTAAACGTTTCCTGCGAAATCTCTTCGCACGCACGCACGTACTCACACGCACCTGCGAGGAGGCGGGGCTTCCGACGCCTGAACCCGCGGTGTGCTTCCCGAGGCTGACGTGTACGTGCCAGACGGCAGATGAGGATGGCCGAGGGACCTTTCCTCGCGCCGACTGCACCCCAGCGAGGCATTCACTCTCGGGAGCTTGAGAAGAAAGGTGTTCAAAGCTAAACGGTGATAAAACATGGCGTTGCGAGGAACACTGGCCAGACTGCCTGCTCTGAGGTCTTCGCTTGTGACCACAAGCCCAAGAATCGTGGCGGTTCCTGCCAGGCAAACCCACAGCACGGAGGATAGGCTCCAGGTAGCCCCCGCCGCTGGAGCGGTTGTGTGTAGCAGTGCCATTCCTGTTGGAAAATTAGGTAAGTTCCTTCAGTTCCTGTGAGTAATGCCTGCTAGACAGTTTAACATCACCTCTAGCAAAGGTTTATGTGTAAAGAGGTGCTGGTGTAGTTCGTTTGGACATCTTTGAAACTTCAGGAGGTATTACATGGCAACTCAAAGCTGTCTGCTACCCAGGATTTTGAATAGAGTTTGGCAAATAAGAGATTATCATTTGCATTTTACAAACGTAGCAGGGAGTACTGCGTGTGTGTTTTACGTGCTAAGCCTACTAGTTTTCCTTTTGTACTTAGCTCTAGGTTCTTAGAGAATCACTGGGGTATTTGGTATCAAATAGCATAACTATACTGCACCGGAGTTTGTATGTATGTGTGTCTTCTGGACAAAACAACTAATCAAATAAAGAATATTTTGATATACATTATAGATGCATGGGACTCTATGTAACATTTTTTTTCAATTTCCTATCTTACCCCATGTTAGATTTTGATTGCTTGATTGTTTACTCGTTTGAAGATAAAGATATCAATTTAGCAATGCTCGGATCAGTTGCCTGTTTTCTATCTCTCATATTGTTTCTTTGTAGCATTTCACAAGACGAGAAAATAGCTTTGAAAGTATGTAATATTCGTATTCCTTAAAGAACCTGCACATTCTGTTTTTTATCAATAGTTTAACCTCTTTCCATTTTTTTCCAGGACTGAGAGATCACCATATCAACAGGCTGGAGAAGTATTTGCTGGTTTGGGGAGGAAAGTACAACAGCATCGCAGATGTCCCTGACTTGGTGAGGTGAGTTTTCCTTCGACTTTTGTGTGGATTTATCCCTTTTGTTTAGAATACAATGACTTCTCAAGAAAAGATCCAACAATTCTTGATTGCTGTTTAACTTAGTTCTGGAATATATTTTCCCCCGAAAGAAGCAATCTCTTTCTCTCTGTCAACAGCCAAGACACCCTGGAACGCGCCCGTAACAAGGCAAGAATCAAGATCAACATCTGGATGGGCGTCGCCACCCTGCTCGGCTGCGTCTACATGATCTGGTCGGGCAAGAAGGCCCACCGGGAGGGCCAGTCTCTCCTGGCCATGAACGCGGAGTGGCACAGGAGAGTGAACGAGGAGGCGAGGCTGGCCAGGGCGAGAAAGGATCGTCTGGGGGACATGGCAGAGCTGTAGGGAGGGAATCTCTGCTCACTGGGTGACGCTGATGTGTCTTTAGCTGGAGGGATTGTTAAACCTATTTCTCTTTTTGTGTTTTTGAAAGGCTAAGTGAAGGGGTAGGATATGGCTCCGGCGTCAGGGAAAGGCACAAAGGAAAGGAAACAGCGCGTTTTCGTGGTACGTTCTTCAGATAACACTTTTCAGTAATGGGGAAAGGTGTTTATTTCTTGAACAATCTGAGATTCTATTGAGATAGCATTTGAACCATGCTTCGCATGCGTTATCATATGGCAATACCCATGGCAAAACTAGGTTTGTACAGTTTAATGAGTTGGTGTTTTTTTATGATGACTGGATATTGACTGGAACAATGTCTGGAGAATATCCACAGTCAAGGAACTAGAACCTCATTACAACAGTGACATTCCTTACCAATCCCCGCGAGATGTACTGTGATGAACTGGCCATTCTGGAAGGCAGAGGCCATGCTTTTCGATGTAATAGTTCAATGCAGGAAAGTGTGATGGCTTATAATGGAACTTCAGATAGGCTATGTGTGCCTACGTCTGTCCCTAAAAGGCCCATTTGCTGGAACCCATTCACTTCCGAACGGCTGCTCTAGATGCTGGTTCTCACACCTCAGTCCATGGTGGGAATCTTGGCATTAGTGGCGGCATGCAGCTTAGACGCAGGGAAAGTGTGCAGTCGTCTGTTGACTATCGCCTTGCAAATGGGCTCTTTCTAGATGATACTTGTTTAGCATCTCAGTTCCTCTGCCTCCCAGCTGGTCTTACAGTTCTATCTCCTACCTCCGTTGCCTTTGAGAAATTAACAATCTGCCATGTACTATTTTATTTAAAAAGTAGCGAAGGTAGTAATGTATGTATGTCCCTATCAACAGGCTGTGAATGAGCAGTTTTTGGAAATTGTTTCGCAAAAAGAAGAGAGAAAAAAACATGATATTTGTACAAGATTTGACAATGCTTGTAACTGACGCAGGATCGTGATATTTCATTTCACTTCTTAAACCATCATTTCTGTGTTCGTGAAGCAATGGTTTTCCTGCGCTGGCCAAAGTCTTTCGCATGATTAGCAAAATAGTTCAGTACACACAAGGTATCTTTCGTAATACTGTCCAGTTATTTTACAAAGAACATACCTTATAGGTATAATAAAAGTGACCATATTTTGATGTCCAGAAGTCAAGGAACAATAAATATGAAGGTATAAATTACAGCAGTTTATGTACTTTTTATAATATCAATTCAGTGTCAGTGGTTCTTAGGAAATATTGTGATATTTCATCCAGTATAAGAAAAATCAGTTTGAATATATACCGCTTTTCAATAGATACTAGCTTTTCCAGGTTATAACATAATATATATATACTTTAAACTACAATCTTTATTTTTCATATTGTAGATTTTCATGTTATAACATGTATCACCTTAAGGTGAATGTGATGACAATAACATACCACAGTCAATTTATAAGTCTAATAAACATTTGTTTTATAAAGTGTGTTTTATTGAACTGTTTAGCTAAGCTAAGGAGTCAAGATTTTCTTCCGAAATAGTATCTTTTACGTGAGGACTGCAAATACATTTATCAGTGAGACTTTAGATTTGACTTCATAATTACATATCAGAGAATATCGTATATTTTAATTACTTCTTTGATCTATTTCCCCTGACTTCATTAGAAACTACAATAGGTTCTTCATTAAATTGGGTTTAATATCTTGTTTTTTTTTAGTAAAGCTTATTTGGCATGATATCCGAAGAATTAATTATAATAATCTCTTAATAATTAATTTCCTTAACAAAAACTGCATTTGCGTAAATTGAAAACTGGAGACTCTTAAAGCAAGATTTTTTTCGCATATCTTTGATTACAGTTTTTTACAGTATTGGTTCATTTTGTTTGATCCGAGGTTTTTCTCTGCAACATAGCACTTTTATCGACTGTTTGTCTTTACTAAGTTGGTTCACATAAGAGGATTTTCAAATTGCTGTGGGATCTTTTCTTTTAACCCTGAGGGACTTGCGTCCTAATCGCTGGGGTGAAGATTGGCTGCCAGACTTTACTTTACTGGTACAAATTGCAATAGCATTTCTTAGGTTGCCAGACTTGATTGTACTGCTCTCGAATCTCACAACGCAAATTTTGATCTATGATTTCGTTTTACATATCGCTTCTGTGCGAATTGAACCGCAGTAGATGGGTGTGATTGTTTAGTTTGCCAAACCTGCATCTGAAGGTAAAATGGCGAAGCTTCAATCGTTAAAGAAGCTCCAGACGCGAGACCATGACGCCCACCACGTCTCTTCTGTCAGCAAATCGAGTCGGAAGATCAGAAGTCTGGCGCAAAGATTATGACCAACGACGACTAAGGTCTGAATAAAAGAATGAGAGTTTGAAAAGTATACTTAATCCTCAAAACCAGATGGTTCCCTCAGGAAAAAGGAGATAGGAAAAGAAAGGAAAAATATAAATAATATGCAAATACTTTGAACAAACTGATCCACCTCTAGTTCATTTCCATGCTGATTTTTCTCTTTCTTTACCTTCCTTGCTTGTTTGATGGACGATTACCATCCACTTTTTGCCAGATAAATGAATCTCGATTTTAACAATAGCAAATGCGGATTTTTGTCAACTCAAGTCAAAAAAAAAAAAAAAAAAAAAAAAAAAAAAAAAAAAAAAAAAAAAAATATATATATATATATATATATATATATATATATATATATATATATATATATATATATATATATATATATATATATAATAAGGTCAACGAGACTTAAACTCCAAGTATGGGTTAAGTATGATCGTCTCTGCGAGCTTTGGCTGAGCGTGGCTGAGGCGCGGATAACACTAATCTATGACTTAAGAACAAGTTCCTTCATGTCAATCAAATTCACGTTTTCATTTTTATGTCCTCTTGAAGTGAGAAGAAAGTTTCAGCATCCGTTCACCGGTTAATGATGATAAACGAATGAAAAGTAAATAAGTAAAAAACAGAATCTTTTTCCCATTTTAGTATGGTATATCTATATGAACTGAGGATGACGATGATGATGTGATGATAGTGAAGAGATGGAGGCGGTTGATGTCGATGATGATGATGATGGTGCTGATGGTAGTGATGATGGTAACAATGATGATGACGGAAATAATAATTCTATGATATCACTGACTATTATTATTCTCTTTTAACGTTGTCGTGGTTATTACTACCGTAATTTTATATATCAGAGTTATCATTTTCGTAATTACATTTTTATTTGTATCATCATTGTTATTGTTACTGCCATTACCATTAATATATATGTGTTATTATAGGTATAAAGATTCTATTTGGCATTCATTTTGTAATATCTCCGTACTCCTTTGGAAAGAAACTGTCAGGCTCGTACTCCTCAAAATCAGAACGTAAACAAGACTTTTGGTTTGAGAGCCACAGCAGCGTCAACACTTCGAGATGGTAAGGCTTTACGTGATAAAAGCTAATGGAAAAGAAATTGAAAAGGGGCTCAGATGACTGTGTTTAATGGCAAATAATGTTGACAACTCTAATGACCGATGTTAGATAATAAAACAATACGGAATTTTATATCTGACGTACTACAAACTCAGAGGCATCTATGTTATCTTTTTTTCAATGACCAAAAAACGAAAATAATTCTTTTATATTTTTGAGCTTGTAAGATTCTATAGTTATCATGCATTAAATGTAGGAATGTAGGAAATTACTCAGAACACTTACATGCAAAGGATCACGACCATAGTGGTATAAGTGAATAATTCTCACTCTCTGCTATTCACATACATAGGATTCATGGCACAAAAACCCCGGTAATCTCCACAAACTTAGCCTCAATAGTAGGGAGGGCATGGAGGATGCCAGGGAAATTTCAGGAAAATTCACACTCCTGGGAAACTATAATGGAGTTTGTAGGTCCCAAGGACATGATGACACAAGGCGGTATTTGTTGTTCCATATTATTCTGTCCTGTAGGCAGTGCCATCTATTGAGTGGATAGAGTAGTAGGGATATGAATCTCCCATCCTGTGCCAAAGGGTCTACAACTGGTCTGCCTGTGGTCTTGTGGCCACATTTTTGTAGATATTCATGTGTAGCTGTAAAGCTCATTTTTCCTCCTACTGTAAACCAGAAATTTAACCCAATGGTGACTGGTAAAAAAAAAACAAAAAAAAACTATGCTCTGGCGATCAATGGCAGCGCGCTGACTTTGAGCACAGGAGTTCGGTACATCAGGCAGAATCACTGGCTTGCCGCACTTTGGCGCACCACTGCAGCATACAGCTGCACACCACATTTCAAGCGGTTTGTTTTCACGCTTATCGGCGTCATCGGTCATGAAGGGGTTAATGGGAACTTTCATGCCCTCCCCTACTATGAGGGCTAAGTTTGTGAGTTATGGGGGGGAACAAGGTTCTGCAGCATAGTTCCTAAAAACATGAGTAACAGAGGGTGAGAGGAATCAGGCAGTACTAGTATCATTATGGTTGTGCCAGTCTTCTGAACAAAGACCAAAAGACCTATAGCATCTTAATCACACAGTTTAGTGCAATGCCTTCCTCGTGGTTGGTCCAAGGCTCCAATCCTGCCATGAATACAAGGCAAGATTGTCATCCAAGGTGGGGGTTGGAGGGCAACAGTCCCCTCTAGGGGGTCATAGCCTCTTGTTGTAGATAATTAATTTACAATCATTGCATATATTAGGGGTTTTCTTGCCATAAATCCTACATAAATCTGTGCCATAAATCCTGGGTATATGAATAGCAGAGGATGAGAAGAATCCATTGTTACCAAGTTTGTCTTGATCCATGCATTTCTTGCAGAAATATGTAGAGATTGAGAAGAATTGATACAAAATATAATAACACTTAACTACATTTATTCAGCAAAGGGATACATTGCTGATACTAACAAATTTACTTGCATGGAAATCTCAATAGCCAGGAAGGATATATTTCCAGAATAGTTCTGCATCTTAAAACTCAATGAAAATTTTAGAATGAGACACTTGTTGATGATTATTAACCAAGTATATTAGCATTAGTCAGTGGAACCTATGAATAAGCACAATACCAAAAGTTGATTTGGTTTACTTACTTTACTTATTGGTTAACTGCTATCATCAGAATTCATGGATCAACCCAATGTCAGCAGGTGGCAAGACTATAATGCCACGTCCACTGTAATAAAAGTTTATCTATTGTCTTTACACTTAGATGGCTCTACAAGTGCTTAGTCCAAGGAATCAGCTATTAGTCTTACCTACCTCATCTGTTTACCCTTTTCCTTCATTTTTTGAGGGCTTCATTGCTACCATTTTATTGTCTTTGATGTTATTAATATCTTAATACCAATTTAATAAACATAATATCAGTAAGAATGATAACAATGTCAATATTAATAGTATTGGAAAGAAAACCACATTTTCCTGCCAATTCAAGGAATGGGGGAATTCAGGATCAGTCACTAGGGCCAACTGATAGACTCCTTGCTGGCTGAGCACACATGGCGCCATCTGTATGTCACAAAACACACTAAAATCTAGAGTGAACAGTACATAAACCCACTGGCATTGTGTTAAAGTATAGTATACGAAGAATAAGCATCATAAAATTGTTTGTATAGGCAGCATGGATCTTCTCTGAATAATTCTCTTTTTGATGCTCTTTCAGGCCCTTTAAAGGCTAAAAAGTTAATATCATCAGCTTATCAATGTCAGATTATAATCTTATGCATGCGTCATGCATAGGAATTTAAATAAATGATTAGATTGGTTTGTGGTAAGAGTTCCACAAAGGTCAGTAAATCTCTTCATAGAATTTTGACTACTTGTTGCTGTAGAAAAATGGAAATTATATAAATATGTGCAATATGTTAACCCATTGCCGCCGGGGATAGCATGTACGTACATGCCATGCCCACTGTGAGTCGACTTGTTTGATTGTTTTTACACATAGATGGCTACACTTGTACTAAGTATCCAATGAGCCAATTACGAGTACTGCCTGTGTCGTCCGTTCACCGTTTTCATCGATTTACGAAAATATTTAACGTTATCCTAATTTGCTGTTAAAAATAATACCATCTATATTTATAACACGAGTAAGAATACATTTTTTCCCGCCAATTCAAGGAAAGGTGAAATCAGGACTAGCAGAGCCATCTATGGACAGAGAGATTTCACAAAAATATAAAAAATGAGTACTGCATTTACCCCATTTTTTGTTCATTTTCCCCGGCGGCAATGAGTTAAGATCACATCCAGATAATCACCAAAATTTGACCATCCATATTACATA